ATGGCACAGGATTCTGCCCAGGTCCCAGCCGTTCTCTTCCAAACCTCTCTGTGATAGGAGCTCTAGAAAAGCAGATCTGCCCAAAACCAAGATGGCTCCCACTAAGTTCTCCGTGCGGAGCTGAAGCCAGCAAGCAATCAGACTCTGCCAGGACTCAAGATGTCTTCCACCAGCCCTCCCTACAGGGGGTCCTGGTGATGTCACCAAGCTGCGATTTCTGCCGCCAGGCTAATATGTCTGCACCAGATTCTGTGTTATTGATTTCCCCGTGGTGGCGGGCCAGCTGTTCTCTGGCCAAACCCAGCCGCCGCGGGGTTTTCTATACTCACCAGAGTCCGGTGCAAGTCCCCGCTCCGGGACCGCCACACACCAAGCCGTCCACTTTTCCCCACCTCGCGGCTCAGCGCTGACTGGTCAGATTTCTGTGCACCGTTTAGATTCGAAACGCCAGAGCTCTGTACATCTGCGCTGGTGCAGCGGTGCAGAACTGGCTGCCGCCTGGAGTCTCAATCTGGGTCTCAGTTTCCGCAGTCCCCAAAAGCAACTCAGCTTTTCGTGTTGGGTCCACGAGTCTGTTCGTTGATTTAAGGGCGTGGGATTTGCAGCCTCCGGTCTCAGCACGACTTTAAATCCTCCAGCTGTACTGTCTTGGTTGATAAGGATCGCTATGGATTTGTCTGGTCCTCTCCATGCTGTCTTTTTTTTTTTTTTTTTTTAGCTTTGAGTTTGAATTCTCTGGAGAGATTCTTCGCTCGATCCCCTAGCACGCCGCCATTTTCTCTCCTCCAGTCTGTCGGCTTTTTAAATTTTCTTAACAGTGTCTTCCAAAGACAAGAATTTTAGTTTTGAGAAAGTCCAATTTATCAATATGTTATTTTTTGGTTTATGCTTATGTCATTATAAAAAAAAACTGAACCTTGGGGGCTGGGGATTTAGCTCAGTGGCATAAGCGCCTTCCTTGTAAGAAGGCAGTCGTGAGTTCGATCCCTGGTACCGATAAAAATGAAAAAGACAAAAAAAAAATCATAAAAAAAAAAAAAAAAAACTGAACCTAAAATGAGAACCCATTTTTCTCTTATGTTTTCTTCCATAAGTTTTATAATTTTAGGTTTTACATTTAGAATCACGATTCATTTTGAATTACCTTTGATACATGAGATATGGTCAAGAATTTTTTTGGATGAGTGTAAAACTGAATCAGCAACATTTATTGAAGATGATCCTTTCTCTATTGAACAACCTCTGGGCTACTGTTGAAAACAAAACTGATCAGACAACGCATGGAACCATTTTTCCATCTTGTCTGTCCCACTGATTTAACCATCCATCTCACAGATGGAAAGGAGCCCTGATTTCTGAAGACCATCTATTAGTTTTCAAAACTGTTCTGGCTAATCCAGTTTCTTTTCAATATAAACTTAAAATCAGCTTGTTAATTTATATAGAGTAAGTACACTGGAATTTTTTATTGAGACTTTACAGACTCAATAGAAGAATTTGGAATTAATAGACTCTTAATATCAGGACTTCTAACCCATGAAGACCATAATCTCTGCATTTTTTTAGGTCTTACTGACTTTTCACCATTATTTTGGAATTTTTAGCATACAGGTTCTGCATTTATTTCTGCACCTATGCAATTTATACTTCCAGTATTATTCTACTATGTCAAAATTTTGCATTTCCTAATTACTGGTTTTTAATAAAAAATATTAACACTGTACCTTGTAAAGTTGCTAAATTGAACTATTAGGGGCTAAGAGTATAGCTCAATGGCAGAACACGACTTTTTTTGTGAAAACGGGCCCAATATTTCTTTCTTTCTAGTCTAAATGTCCATTGTTTCATTTTCTTATCTTACTACACTAGCTAGGGCTTCGGTATTCTTGTTTTATGCTACACTTTAGGAAAAAAAGCATAGTTTTACCATTACATAAAATGGTGACCAGTTTTCCACAGAAGTCATTTATTAGAATAAGTAAATTTCCTTCTAATTCCAATTTCAAAGGACTTTATTTACTCATTTTGGTACTGGAGATGGAACTCAGGGATCCTCTATAAAGGGTTCCCAGCCCTTCATCCTGTCACAAGGTCTTGCTAGTCAGGCTGACCTTGAACTTGCAACTCTTCTGCCTCAGTCTCCCAAGTGGCTGGGATTACAGGTGTGCACTATCGCACCCAGCAGCTCAGAATTTCCATCATGGCTAAATACTGGATTTTGTCAAATAATTTGTGTACATCCACTGACATTATTACTCTCTTTTATCAGCTATTAGATGAATTCACTAACTTACCTCTTAATGTTAAACTAACCTTACATCCTGTGATAAACCCCAGTTGCTAATAACAGACTATCTTTTTAATTTATTTTTGGATTTGATTTGCTAATACTTGTTAGGGATTTTTGCATGTATGCTCACAAGGGATATCAATCTTTAGGGTTTCCTTTCTTGTAATGCCAGTAATCCCTTTTGTATTTTCTGAAAGACACTATATAGAATACTATTTCTTTTAACTTTAATTTTATTTGAATAAAATTAATAATATTGCTAGAGCCAGGGATTTAGCTCAGCAGCGTATGAGTTTGATCCCTGGTACACCCCCCCCCACCCCACAAAAATCTTTTTTTGCTTAACCTTTTCATTTCTGGGAGGTCTACAGAAATATTTCTTATCTTACTAAACTTTTTGCTTCTAATTTTTTTCACATAATTCTCTTTAGGGTAATATTAGGCATACCATCCATCATTTCACAGTCCTGGTCTTTAGTCTCAACATTTTATTGAGGAACCTCAAAAACTCAAATTTGCTCAGTTTTACTTGAGATCTTCATCCACAGCCTTTTAGTCCTTCAGGTTTTCAGCACCTTATGAAATCACACTGCTACCCACCCACTGGGTCACCCCAAGCCTGAAGTCCCATCAGTGAGCGTGAGACTGTTACAGCATTTCTCGTCCGCCTGTCTCTCCCGTCGCCCTCCTCCAGCCCAGACCCTAAACTGCTGGCAGAATGATCTTTCCAATCAACACACACCCCACGGCCCTTGCTGTGCTTGCTGCTAACAGAAGTGCAGCTGGAGGAAGGGCGCACGCAGGGCTTCCTTGTCACATCTCCAAACATTTAAGAGGAACAGGTAGAACAAACAATTGAATAAAACTAATTATATCCTCCTATCTTAAAAATACTTTATAATGAGGCAAAATATTGCAAAACTTTGTTTTACATAATTGTTTGGCAAACTGTCAAAGATAACTGAGTGAATTACTACTGCTAAGCCTAAATTTTCTGATGTTTGCATATGAAATAAATGTATACATAATTTGGTAAAGAAAACATGAAATAAAATCTGTCATTCACAAGCCATGAAAATGTTAAGGCCTCTCCTGATATTAGGTCTCATTTCACTCTTTTGTCTATATCAATTAGCTCTTTAAGTACAATGACAAAACTGCTATTTCCAGCATATTACTATTAAATGTGAAGTGCCTTATGGTCTAACATATACACACAAACTTTAAAAATTATAGATTAAAGAAATAACTTTCTGTTTCTTTTATCTAGGACCAGAGTTGATGAGCAGTGGCCTCTGGACCAACTCCGGCCCATTACCTGCTTTTATAATACTTTTCCTGGAACACAGTCATACCCACTTGCTTTCCTTTGTTTTGTTTTTTGGTTTTTTGAAACAGGGACTTGCTATAAAGCGCAAGATGGCTTCTAACTTGCAGCAGTCCTCCTGCCTCAGCCTCCCAAGTGTTGGGATTATAGGGCTGCCCCACCACACTGGGCTCATCTGCTTTTGTATTGTCACAGCAGCTGAGTAGTTGTAACACAAACTATATGATTCACAAAGCCTAACATATTCACACATTTGTTTCTAGACCCTTTCAAAACCAGTCTGCAGAGGAACTAGAGGATCTTTTTGAACGAATCAAATGTCTTCATTAGTAACTATTAGAATGAACTCCATGCCCCTCTCTGTCTTTTTACGTAAGTTCTGTTACGAGATTCTGATGAATTGCACCATGCTTGCTCCCGAGATCAGTGCACGCAGGCACAGCTTTTTATATCCTAGATTCTCCTCACGATACATATAATTTAAGATTTTTTCCTAATATTTATAGTGACTTCAGTGTAACAATGTTCACACCATTGACTAGTTTTGTAAAAAGTAGAAATTTTTCCTATTGAGGTATTTTTTAATTACCCTTAACAAACGTGGTATCTCCTCTGAACTTTCAGTAAGCTTTATGCAACTACCACTGCACTTAATCATACCTAAAGTATATTAAAAGTAGATAACACTATCCATTTCTCTATCATCTCAGTACACAGGGGAAATATGTTAAAAGGCTGAAAATTATCTTTACACACTCCTGAGGTTTGTAAAGAATTCCTAATTTCACTAGGAAAGGGTTTGGTTTTAAACATTAAATGTTTACTAATGATTCTAATATTGTTTCTTCCCAAGCCTGGTAATTGAATCCTAATTTTATGTATGGTGAATATTATTCATGTAATTTTTTTAAAAAGCCAGAGTATTAAAATAGTCATCTGAGAACCAAACAGCAAAGCTAATTTTACCAATAGGTTGTTTCAAAGAAAAGCAGCAGCAGCCTAATTAATATAACCAAAGGGAAATATGGTTTATAGAATACTTTAACTTACCACTAGCTTATTCCACACAAAAAGTTTGATTCACACACAAAAATTACTAACAAAGTATCCACTGGATAGTCTAGAGTAATTCTAGATCTATCTATCTTATAATGCTTCTGACAAGTCATTTAATCTGTAGAGGCCTAAACTCATCTATGAAATGATAAATGTGATTTAACTCCTAGGGTCCCTTTAAGCAATAAGACCCCCCAAATTTAAGAAATTAACTTATTTTTAATATTAAATCTCACAATGTTCTCAGGTGAGCATAATCCTTCCCACTAGAGAAACCTGTAAATAAGCTCTGTTCTCCCTTGCCAGTCTTGGTAAGACCCTGAATACCTCTGCTCCTGGCAGACGCCTTTCTTCCTGCTGGCTTCGGGGCTGGCTTGGCTCTTTTCTTCCTGGCTGCTTTGGTCTGTCCATGACCGGATGCAGAGTCTGAGTCAGAAGAGTCAAGCTTGACTTGACGATGCCGTCTTGACTTGGATGCCTTAAGAGGTAGAAATCCAACTAATCACAAAGAATTACAAAGGAAATCCAACCAAAAGATAATGTAGAGAAAAAACACATGAAGATGGGGAAAGATTTATAAAAACAACTGTCATGCAAGACTTCTTCCATCAGCTTTCTTTATATCATTACTTGAGCCGTGTACATAGGCTTTTACCTTTCCTTTACAGCAGTTTCCTGAAGCTGTTATTACTACTGACCCACTCTGGGTGCAGGAGCTGGGATGGCTGGGACGTGAAAGGATACAGGCCTATATACTGTTGTAATTCTACTCCCATCAACCTATTACTCATTACTGTAAAGATAACTTTATTTTCCTCAGTATCGCCATGTGTTCTGAAAGGATCTATCGCACATGTGGGTCCAAGTCTAGGCAGGAGGCGCAGATGTGAACAAAGTCAGTTTCATGTCCCCCGACCCCTGATTTGTTCAGCGATGGGCACGAGATCTTTGCCATAGCTGATGGAACTCTATTTTAGAGCTGTTGAACCCTGAGGAAGGGGAAATGTGCTCTTTCCTTTGAACTAGAAGGTAGAAATACACAAGGATAAAACTGTCACAAACAGTGCTTAAAAACAGGAGAAAGACATCAAGAGTGACAAAGGGAGGGTGCAGCCTAACATCACCTGTGGCTGAAGCCACACAGGCAAGGGTTCTCCAGTTAGATCTGTCAAACAAGTCTTGTCTGCTTACGTGAAGGGTTTTCAGTTAATGTCACACATGCAGTAACAGGTACTAACAATTCTTACAAAGCAATCACATATTGTAGACCAAATGTACCTCAAAAAGGTGGAAAACCACAACCATGCAATCACACGTCCAAAAGTTTATGGGAAACATAATTTGTTTAATGATTAAAAGAGTATTTGATAAGTTTCTTCAGCTACAAATTAAACATCAATAAGCAATTATATAAAAGAGTTCATCTTAAAAAGAATTACAGATAATTTACTGTCCTCAGGACTATCATTCAGTAGTAGAGCAGTACTTCAATTCACAGACTCCGTTCTCTCCAAGATTCTAGTCACAAACTCAACTGGACAAGAACCAAATCAAATTTCCCCATAACGTCAACATTGAACTTAACCACTGAATTTGGTCCAGTTCTTGTCCAACTCAGTTTGCGACCACAATCATGGAAAGAATCAAGTTGGAGGAAAAAAAAAAAAAAAAGAATCAAGTTCATGAATCAAGGTACCACTGTATTCACCACTTAATTTAGGGCTGGAGATATAGCTCAGCAACACAAGTGCGGACATGGAAAGCACAAGGTCTGGAGTTCAATTCCCAGTACAAAATAAATAAATAAATAAACAAACGAACAAACAATTTATTGTGACATAGCAAATTTATAACACTTAACTAATCTAGACTCAATTTTTTATTACTTCTTTATTTCTAAAACTAAGGAATGGTAGTACTTTTCCATGAAGTAAACATATTCTTAGATTCATGAAAAAAAGTCCAGACAAAAAAAAATCTGCAATTAAACAAATGAATTTCTCAATACTCTGTTCTGAAACTCCACTAAAATGTCAAGGAAAGAATAAAAATGCATTCTGCATATTTTCCCAGAAAAATGGATAATATTATGCCATAGCAATATACGTGCATCATTTGTAATAGCTAAATTGTAGTAGCACAATTTGTAATAGCTAAATCTTGGAAACAACCAAAATCCCCAACAATCACAGGATGGATGAAAAAGATGTGGTATTTTTATACAATGGAGTATTACTATAAAAAAGTATAGCTATAAAAAAAGGATGATTTTGAGGATGATTTTATAGTATAGCGATAAAAAAGGATGATTTTGAGGCTTTTATAGGTAAATGGAGGCAACTTGAGACTACCCTCATAAGTGAAACAAGTCAGACTCACATGTGTAAATACGATGTTGTCTCTCTAGTATAAAAAATAACAAAAACTGTTAAGAGTAATGAGTTCCAAAATGTACAATAGATATTGTAATAATGAAAGGGAAAGTGATCAAAAGAATAACTTGTAGGTATACACATATAACTGTATGTATGTTTGTGTTAAAGATAGATAACCATACTACTAATTGTTAGTTCATCAAAAAAGTTTGTGCTGCCATTGTTTGTTCATTTTTTATGCTTAGATTTTGTAACTTGAGCAACTATTTCTAAGATAACAATGTTTAATATATTAACTAATGTTGATTTCTTACTTTTTTTGAAATTCTGTATTATTTCTACCCTTTTTTCTGTTTTGCTTTTTAAAAATAAAAAACCAATTGCATTTGAGACAACAAGAAAGAATAAAAATTCATGAAAACAGAAGTAACAAGACATAAAACCGAGGAGATGGAAAACAGAAGAGCAAGCAAAGGCTGACTTGAAGAAATGAAAAAGACCTAACAACCCGCATGGGGCAGCCGGTGTAAAGCAGGCACCAGGAGCGGGAATCTGGAGAAGGCAGCGGAAACCATAGCCAGCATCACAAGTGTCCCACTTCCCACTCTCCAAGGAAGGTGACCGTCCCTCTGGGAGAAAAGAGGGCGTCTGCTCTGCAGAGAGATCAACCCAGCAGGCCACTGGCAAGGCTGCCGTGTCGCTGAGGGGAGGGAGGAGCCCGTGCAGAGCAGGAGGACGTGGAGGAGCAGAGAACGGGCTGCTGGGTGACGGGCCCACAGGCCCTGCTCATGTCTCACCCTCTCCCTACACAAGGGAGAACACTGTTCTTCATTAGAAGTAACTAGACACAGGAAAAAGAAAAGTAGGGGTCTCCTGTTGGCCACTCTTAAATATGTGCAGACATCGGAAGTTCTTCAGTTTTTTGGGGTACAGAAAGAAAAATAAGTAAAAATGAAAGAAAGATATCAAGATAAGCAGGAAATAATCAAAAACTATAGCTATACTTCAAGAGAAGAAGATATTTCATCCTATGAAGGAAAATAAATCTCTTAAAAGATTTAGAAAATAAGAAAAATCCTTCATATAAAAAAAGTCAGCAGAAATTTTTTAAAAATCAAGTTAAAAGCTGAGTGTAAAGGCACCACCTATAATCTCAGCACTCAGGAGGCTAAGGCAGGAGGATCACTGTGAGTTCAAGGCCAGCCTAAACCATAGTGAGACCCTACTTCACAAAACCCAAAAAAAGGACAGGGGATATAGTTCAGCAGCACAGCACCTGCCTGGCAAGTGCAAGGTTCTGAGTTTGATCCCAGTACCTCCCCCTGACCCCCAAAAAAAGAGTAATATCAAAGAAACAAAAAAATTCCTCAGAGCCAAAGGGTGGCAGACTGACAGGTTGGCCACCAGGAGCATCAAGAGCAGTATGTGAAAAGACCCACACCAAGACACATTATCACAGAATTACCAAACTCTGAGGACAAAGAGAAAACTCGAAAAGTTCCCAAGATCAGGACTATCGGAAACTGGAAGATGATTAAGAAAATGAAACAAAAAAGTCCAGGAAAAGGCCAGAAGAACCAGCTGACACAGAAGCAGCAGCTCAAAGAGAAAAGCTCCAGGCAGCCACCTCTCAGGAGCAGGAGCACAGAGGCGGGAATGCGGGGCCAGGACACACGGCTGGCTGCTGACACAAGGGCTGATATTCGGCTTTTAAACTGCATACAGTGTTTGTGTGACCTTGATGAGAAATTAAAGTGGGATTTAAAAAGCATCGCATTTCCACATTACCTTATGAAAAAAGTAACTTACCTGAACAACAACTGAAAAGGCTTTTGATTTTATTTTTGCTAATGATTCAGCTCTTTCACATCTCTGAGATAAAAATAAAGAAGGAAAAACAGAGTTAAAACTCACAGACACCAGGTGAAATCATCAACTGCATGTCTGTTACCATGAATAACAGACAGAAGGCTGCGTAGCAAAAGGAAACCCAACAGGGAGGAGGGAGCGCAGATCCCCCCGTGAGCAGACACAGCTGAGGCCCTGCTGCCTAAAGCCCAAGCGACCAGACCGGGGCGGAAGCCCTGCTGACAGACTAGGCCTTGAGCACCATGACTTCCTTGGCCACTCTGGCCCAAAGACAGCGTAAGTCTCACCCTCGAGGATGAATAAAAACTCTGCAGGCAGCAAACAGTGGATTGTAGCCTGGGCCGCACCCTGGCTGAAAGGCTGGCACCTAAGAACCGTGGGCCCTCTCCACCAGCTTTCTTTCCCCATTAAACCTGGTCACAGCTCACGCCCACTCATGCCTCACACGGCCCTGCACAAGGCTCCAGGACTGATCGGACCAGTGTCACAAGCACTCGGGATTCAAAACTTTTTCTCATAGTTATTCTGCTGCAGACTAACGATCATGATGCTCTATATACACAAACATGGCCACAAAAAGATGCAAAGAACCTAAGTGAACTGCTGCCCCGCAAGGGATCACAGAGCTGTGGTCTGACCTGTGATTCTCGTGTATCTCCTTCTCTCTGTTCTTCTTCATCTTTAAGATTTGATTTTAAGGATGGATTCTGAAACAGAGACTTTATTTAGGTACACTATTATGCATGCATTTATAATTCCACCAAATAGAATCAATTTTACAACACTGAGAATCAAGTTATCATTTCATATAATTATAGCATGATCCACCATCTGAGAATAAGATCACATTTTGGTTTCAGAATACTTGTAAAGTTCATCAACAGAATATCTAAAGCCTTCTAAGTAATGAAAGATAGCATACACTTCCTGTATCATTAAGAAAACTAGTATATTCTCCCTCCCTTCCTTCAGGTTTCCTGAGGTCTTATTATGGACCTTTAGGTCCCCCCAGCAGGAGTGCAGAGACTGAACCCATAGACTTTGCACCTAGCCACATTACCAGCCCTTTTTATTCTGAGACAGGGTCTTGCTAAATTGTCTAGGCTGGACATAAATTTGCAATCCTTCCGCCTCGGTCCCCCACAATGCTAAGATTACATGACACCTGGCTTAGTATTGCTCATTTAAGTGAGTTTATCTTTTAAAAGAATACAAAGCCGGGTGTGGGGGTGCCTGCCTGTAATTCTAGCACTCGGGAGAGGCAAGAAGATCGTTGCAAATTCGAGACCATCTTGAGCTACAAAGTGAGCTCAAGGCCAGCTTCAATTGCTCAGTGAGACCATGTCTCAAAAAATCCAAATAATAATAATAATATTACTAAAAGGACACAGACTGATTTATTAAATTCATGTAGGCTATTTGTGACTTAAAGTATTCAAATATTCTAAAACTAGCTAACCTCTTTAAAATAAATAATTAATGTCTTCCTCCCAAAACTAGCATCTCATCTCTGTCCTTGTTTATCTTTTCTGTAACTCAGTTTTGAGTCCATTTACTTTGTATTGTGGAAATCCAAAATCAGCTACAAACCTTTCTAGGAGACAGTCTATGGATCAATATACCTACCTAGCACATGTGAATACACTGATGCAGGACCAGATCTACAGTAATTAACCAGAAATGGCTTATTTTAAACTTTTTCCTAGATACATTTACTAAAATGAAATGAGATAGTAGTTTAAAAGATAAATTTAGCAATAGTGGCATTCAGATTTCCAGAGAAAAAAACCAGTTTCTCTAGCTGAAAGGTTAATGTGACCAGTTCTAATATCAATACCTTTGGGTCAGAAAACTAAATTGGAAATCTGTGCTGACAAAATGTGCAGATAGACAAGCCATATCAGGTACAGTATACAGTAGACAGAAAGACATACCCTATGTACTGTAGGTAATTAATTCAAAATTTAAAAACAATGTTGGGATCAATGCTTTGGCAAAGAGACATCTTTGAGCCAGATCTGGTCTAAAGATTTAGCAATCTACACTCTATGGAAATGCCAAGTATGAAGATTATAAATCAATTTACGATATAAAATATACATATATACACACACGTTACATTAAAAAATCCATTTGAGAAGTTAACAACATGACATAGCTACTGAATAACAAAGCTAAAACCAGAGAGGTAAAACCCTTCAAATCTCAGCGCCACAGGAAGGCAGCCACAAGCCAGGCGCCTCAGCACTCTCAACTCTCTCACACAGTGGAAGGCAGAGGAGCCAGCCCACGGCTTACCTGTCTGTCTCTGTGCCACTGCTGATGTTCCAAAACTATGTTCTTAATGTTATCAAAAAAGTCATCCTTTATCAAGCTGAGCGTTTTGTCTGGTTTGGACTTATCAGTCGAAATTATACGTTTCATGTTCTGATAATGCTCATGAACATTCAGCATTTCCTGAAAGTAAAAAAGTGTGTTTGATTTTCATTTTTGAGAAGAAACTAAAGGCAAAATTAACATAACATAAAATCACCTTCTAAGTGATTGTCAGTTAACAGGAAATAATGTGCAGCAGAACCATGAAAATAATCATGCAAAATACGACAGCTTTATTAACAAAGCAATTACTTTTGGAGGTACAAATTAATTGAATTCATCACAGCAAACAAAGACTAAGACACTGTAATAGGGAAACAACAGGAAAAGACTAATTCAGAAATACAGAATTGCATCCCCAAGCATAGCAAAATTATTGCATTATAACATATCATTAAATTTTTCTGCTGAAAACTAAGAACATATTTTTATATCATATTGTCACATCAAGGACATTTACAGGGCTGAATATGTGGCTCAGTAGAATGCTCGTTTAATAGATACAAGGCCCCACGTTTCATTACCACAGTCAAAAAAGTAAAATAAAACAAAATAAAATAATGCTTCTATAGTTATTTATGCTTTTCTTGAAATTCCCACGTAACACCTTTTAGTCGACCCTCTACAGGATCTCAAAACCTATGTGCCCTTTATTATACCACTGTGACATTGTTAACCAGCTTCCTACCCTGAAACTTTCATTCAAATGGGCAGGTCTGTGGGCTAAGAAGAGAAGCTACACATCTGACGTAAAAAAAACTGTGTATCTCCTGGCACAGGGACTAGTGTCTCAGATCATCAGAGAACTAGTGACATGTCCGTTACAAGCAGCTACTGTGAGATATCTGAGCAGCCCCAAGTCTGCCGATTCAGTCATTTCTGGTAAATTCTGGTACAACTGACGACTGGCCAAGAAATCAGAAACTGCTTGGCAGCAGTGAATGCACACATACATAGAACTGACAAAGAGATAACAGTCTCCAGATACTAAATCTAACTACTAAAACTTTCAGTGAGTCCCTCTTCTCCAAAAAAACAGGAAACATAAACTCCTCCCCACAGACAGAGTACTTTTCTCTCATGTACTTTCATGCATCTCTTTCTCACTTGCCTCTTGTTACACTTCAGACTGCCAGATTTGCTCAAAGATAAATCTGTGACCCCACTCCCAACTCGGGTCCAACACACAGGTGCTGCAGCCATTCAGAAACACGAGTGAACTCAACTCCACTGTGCCCTGTTGTCTCTGTTCCTGGGTTAACTTCACTTACTTTCTTATCTAACTCTACTTTAACACAGGGATGAGAATGTCTACTATAAAATACAATTTCAAACCATTACAAACATCTGTTTTGCAGGAACACGGCAGAAGATGGTCTGCTATGCATTCTGCATAGCTCCTGTGTTATACTATATCTTCAGATATCTGGTAAACATGTCATTGTGTTAACTTTTTTAGAGGCATAAATACCTTAGAGAAGCTGAAGATACTAACTTAGACCTCACTCTAAGTATCCAGACATACAACATCGATTTTTCATACATTTTAATGAGGGGTGGCCCAGATTAAAATTATCTTCAAAAATAAAGTCACCATATGGCATAAAGCTAGAGTGCTTTCAAATCAATTTTCTCCCAGAATTAGAAACACAGCTGCAACCCAGCTGACAGATGTCTCAGAGTATCTGAACACGTAAGCAAATCAAAGGTCTGATCCCCCTTCTCACTGAGGATTTAGACAGAGTGAACAGAGCTGGGAAAAACAGAAGCAACACTTATTCCAGGACCATTAGGTGCTATAAGCTGCACTCAGCACTGTTTGGACTTCACCTCATTATAAGTCTCACAACTGGACAGAACACAGATTGCGGTTACAGTCAGGCTCAGTGGAGATGCCTGTATTTCCAACCACCCAGAAGGCTGAGGCAGGACAATCCTTTGAGACCAGCAGTGAGAAGCCTCTAGGAAAACACAGCAAGACTTTGTCTTAAAAAAAAAAAAAAGACTGAGATCCTAGCATTAATGAGAAGGAACCTAAGGTTCCAAGAGATGATAAATACGTGCCCAAGGAATCCCCATCAACTGTCTCCTGTCTATATTCTTTTGAAACGTCATGGATTAGAAGGTTGCATGTAACCTAGTACTGGTTAAGATATTTTTCTATGCAGGTAGAAGTCTGTAAGTACCACTGCTCAGCCATGACAAAAAAACAAAACATTTTTCTTCAATGATGCCCATCCAATCACCCTCCAATTACACAAATGTTGTTAAAGGGAATTTAAGAAAGTAAGAAAGTACTATAAAAAAAGGAACTTAGGAAATAAATGCCTATTGTTAATAGATCAATAAAGTCACTCTAAACTCTTTATAATCTATGTAAAGTCAAACACATGTGGTAGTTTTAAGCTATATAAACTTAGAAATGTTCAATCTAAGTTTTCTACATCTATTTCTCTTTATGTTTCAACATTTATGTTGGGTGTTTTATTTTTGTTGCTTTACAGAAAGCAGAGCATTTTGATTTGCTAAAATCACTAAAAATATTGTCCATAACTCACTAGAATTATAACCACGATATCTAATCAACAATAATTTTTGTTGTTGTTTTTACATTTTAATGCATAAAAGCTAATTTACCTCTAATACATCAGAAGTGATAAGCTTCATTACACGATCACTTGTGTCCTTAAATTCTTCTGTAACTTCGGCTCGCTGAATTTTTTTCTTCATTCTATATGAAAGCTACATTATAAAATGTCTTTAAAAGGGATGTCTATTAAAAGATATTTGGAAAGTACTTGACAAGTCAGCAATAAAAATTATCAATAAATATGAATAAAACAAAAACAATTTTACATTTGTATTTATTAAATATCTATTTTCCAAAGACCATAAACTTGGACTATCCCCTTAGATGCCAAGCCACATTCTTACAAATTCAAATGAGATTCAGAAGTCAGTAATTTGCCAGATAACGGCACAATCAGAATCTCTTTGATTTCTTATCTGAATTGTCACAAAACTGAACAAATTAATAGTTTAATAGAAATTCTACCTTTTCACCAACTGACATATTAAAATTCCTTGGTCCTCTTTGAGTAACTCCTCTGACATTCATATTAAAGAATGTACAAGCACAGGAAGTTGCTAAATTTCATTTCCTCTCCCAAAAATTTGCTTATATAAGGCCTCCAGAAACATACTGCATTCAAAAGAAGAGGCTGAACTTTGTTGCAAGACAAAAGTAAACAGAAAACATTTTCTATTTTAAGAAAGCTACACCTCTTGAAAACTACTATTAGTATTTCCATTTTTCTGGAGATTGAGGTGCTTTCTGAAAAATAAAGTATAACTGCTCATTTTGAAAAAGACAATTACTTAAGGCAACATACCAATTTAGGCATTGCTGTGAAGTGAAATGCTCTGTCGAGTCGTAGCTTCCTAAAAATATAAGCTGCATCAAAATGCTGTGCATTTATCAAATCTTGCTGAAATTTTAGAACTTCATCCCAATCCTTCAGTGCAACTCTGATCTGCAACAAAGAGTAAACAAATTATACAAAATGCAAACCTTTATTATACATGTGCTACAATTTTAAAACACCCTAATTATTTAAGTCAGAATAGGGTAGAATAGGGTACCTGTTTCACATTGCTACTGGAGGGAAACCACTCACAGATATTACCTTTTGCTTCGGTTGGCACAACTGGGTGTTATACAATCCATATAACAGATACAAAGCACCAACTCTGATCTGGAAAGTGTACGGAGGCAAAAAATATCTCCAAGCCAAAGCTAAGGCTTCTTTTGTAAATGTGTTTTTTTCTAAATTTCTCATTTTGCCACTGTAAAACAAAAAAAAAATATAGATTATGATTCATTAACTAAAGAAACAACAAAGAAAGGCAGAACAAGTATATACTTATTTAAAAGCAGCTGCCAATAATGGTATGAGGATTTCCAGCAGGATCTTTTCCCAGATGCAAGCACAGAAAGCTACTTTTCTGCTGTGTTTCTGACACAGCCACACAAGCTTAGGCAAGCACAACTTACAGCCTTCAAAACCATCAACTTTACTTGCTAAACTGATCAGAGAGTATCTGAAACTGCCAAATTAATCAAAACTTTTTTTAAAAAGCACCAAGATCATAATAAATAAAAAAACCAAAAAGATCATAATAAAGTCAATATTCTCCTTTTTACAACTTCAGACCCAATTTGAGCACATTACAGATCATTTTTTACATGACACCTGAAGAGTATTTTTAATACACACAGCTAAAATAAATGTCTCAAAGTGTATTATTTAATAGATACAAGTAATTGATACACTTTACTATAGAAGCTGTTTTAATGCAGAGAAAATTTTAAAACTTAAATTTGTAATACTAAATATATTTCTAACACTGTACAAAAGATGAGATTGGGAGATACAGCTGTTCCCATAGTTAGAAAACCACAAACTTGATGAGTCTTCACACTCCAGGTGCCAACTGCAAGTGTAGCTCAGCCAGAAAGAAATGTTTCTCTCACTTCCAAGTCCCAGAGAGTTATCACTGCAAGGACATCTCTGCCTAGTCTCAGATAATGACGGTTTCTTCTCTACTTTGGAGGACAGCAGCCTCATTTTGGTGCTGTTTCTATAAGAGTAAATTCTGCCTAACAATCAATGACAAAGTCATGTGTAACCATATAATATTATGTTATGTGTTTTCTGTACTTCCTTTTAGAAACACAGACAAACGATTGAAAAACTCCAGTCGGTGCTGATGACATGGAACTAAGCCCACTAGCATGTAACAAAGCCGTCTTCCAAAGTCCCTCTGGCGCTGTGTCTCCATTTGTTCTGGTCCTGAATCATTACAAATTTAAATATGTTGACATTTTCACTTAATAACAATTCTGCAGCTAGGAAGCAGCAACTTTTTTGACTGTGTCTGATTACAAGGAAGGAGAGGAACATGATGCCCCTTTCAAAATTATTTCCCTATTATGTAAAAATTAGGGTAACCCTACAACCTGAAAGAGCTTGAGTTTTACAAACTGGCAATAAAAGCTCCAACATGTGCTCTACCACTTTCTAAGTACAATCTGGGAAAAATCAACCTCCTTAAGCTTCAATTTCTCTTATCAACAACGACAATTACATCCATTTTTCATAGTTGTTCTATGGATTGAACAAATTAAGCTATGAGTGCATTATTAGTAGCTGGTTCTCCTTTCATTAGCTGTACAATAAATAGCTTCTCAGGCTCCATCCCCTGTAATTTACAAACTATGAAATTAGTTTATATTAGCACAGAGAAAAAAAGAAAACTTTTAGATTTTATTCAGCAAAAACAGTTTTAACCCTAAGATCTCAATTTACACTTTTCAATGTTGTCAATCATGATTCTTAAGCTTAGTTTTGTGGAAGACAAATTAAAAGGGAATAATATACACAAACATGCACTGGTACTTGAAACACTTAAGGCATACATCAGCTTACTTAATCCTCACAGCCACTGTACCAGGTATTATCCTCTCTACAATATTTTACAGTTAAGAAAGCTCAAGCAAGTATCTTGCCCCAAATCCTAGTCAGGGAACCTGCATTCATCTGGGCACAGAGGTGGGTGAAAACTTAAGTGGGCAAAGAGCAGAGACGAGGCTCCAGGCTTCGCAAAAGCCTGTGAAGGTTCCAAAGGCAACTGCTGGAGCAATAGGAGGAGGCTGGAAGATAGGTAGAGACGTCACAAGGGGGTGCCAGCCATGTTAGAGAATTTGAGTTTTATCCCAAACGCAACGGGAACTATTGAAGGGAGGCGAGAAGGTAAGTGATACCGAATTTGAACTTCAGAAAGCCAATGTTGGTTGCTGCACGGAAAAACTAACGCAATCGCACAGGACGTTGCTTTTGCTCGGATACTGGTCTGTTTTTAAACCTGGGATTCTAGGAGGACGAGACAGTCACAGCCGGGAGGATTAACCGCATAGTGACAGTGCGGTGCGCGCCCAGGCCTCCCCACACTCCACGGCCGCGAGCACGGGAAGTGGCAGACGCTCACCAGAAGATGGTTCCAAATTTCATCTTCCTCCAGAGCTCCGTGAAGTCTTCGAAGCGCACACTGTCCATCTCCTGAAAGCGGCTAAGCAGCAACTCGCAGTCGGTCTGCAAGCCGGAAGAAGTCTCCATGCCTACGCCTTCTAACTGATAAGAATCAGCCGCGGGAACTGCCGCCGTCGCCGAGGGAACCAACCAGACGACCCGCCCCGTGCGTCGTGACGCGCGCGCTGTGACGTACAGTCCGGCACCTTTAGCTCCGCCCTCATCCGGTCCGAGCCTGCTGTCCTGGTGCTTTCTGCAAGTAACCCTCAGTGCTATGGCGTTTGCAAGCCAAAATTTGTTTTCTTTTGTCTTTTTTTTCCCTTCTTTTTTGGTAACGGGAATCGAAGAGCTGGAATTTCTTTAAAGGCAAAAGGTTAGTCCTTTTAATTGCCGAGGAGAGGTTTGTATACAAGACTACTATTAAGCACCAAAAGGGTTTCAGGTCATTTTCCCCTAACGTGTTTAAGTTGGCTTTACGGCTACTAGGACTCTTTTAAAGAGAACCTTACAGGGAGTGGAGTCAGCGACCACCAACCCTGCCTCACCTCGAAGGATCGAAAAAGAGAGCTTCCTGCAAAATGGACTCGACTCATTCACCTTCTGGTCCCCAGACCCTTTGCGGTTTATGCCTTCTTAATGCAGTCCTTAAAATGTGGCTGTCGCCTGTACTCCTAGTGGTCTGGAGACCTTGAGAAGGCGAGCTGTATTTTGGACCCTGTTGCAAACTGACCTCCTATGCTACAAGCAAGCACAGTGCTTGGTAGAGATTGCCTACTTGATGAGTCTTTATTTGGCTAAATTGACTCTCAGTAGCCTACTTCTTAGCTTCTAGGAGCTAGCAGGGGAGTACTTTAGACCATTTTTGTGACTGCGAGGCATCTATTGCAGTGCTGTATTTTAGATGTGTCCTAATATATTAGAAAAGTATTGGGCTGCCTACAGATGGAAGGGCAACACATTTAACCTTGCTGATTACTGTTCTTTTTTAATAATTTTATATAAACAAAAAACTTACATGATGTGTGAGATTAGAAGCACAACAGTGAAATGAACACCTGTCTTCCTGTTTAGGAATCAGCCTATTTCCAACCTGTCATATCAATCTAAATCATCCCAATTTTGCCCTACCTTAGTAACACCCACCTTGACTTTTACTTATTTTGCTTGTACCGCTTTATCACATCTGCATATTCAAGCATATCTTACTTGTAGTTTTTGAGTTTTGTAGAAATGGTATTGCAGTTTATAATATATATGTTTGAATTTGTTATGGTTTATGTCTAGGTATACTCCCAAAGTCTCATCTAGATGAGCTCATGGAAATGGGCTTCTAGAGTTTGTCATGGTATAATGCTGGGATTATGGGTGTGAATGCTACACCTGCCTTAGGATGGGTAGCTTGCATACAATATAAGGGACTAAAAAAGGCTTGTCTCTCTCTCTCTCTCTCTGTATCTCGATCTCTCTTCCTTCTGCCTCTCCCCTGCCTCTACCCCTCCGTCTCTTGTTGCTTTTGGTGTCTTCTGCTGCTGTGAAGGTTGCCCCTCTGCCATATCACCCTGCCTTTGTGACAGCTAATTATGGACTGAAACCTCTACAAACTGTGAGCTAAATAAACTTTTCCTTCCTTTAACTTTGGATGTTGAGTATTTTGTCTCAGCAGTGAGAGAAGAGTAAAATAGAATTGCTTGTTAAACTTAACATTTCTTAAGAGTTACTGTTATTCATAGCTGTAATTCATTTTCAATATGGCCTAATATTCTGTTGCTAACTTACAGTTTATCAATTGTTTCCTCTGAAAATCTAGGTGGATTCCAGACTTTGCTATTATAAACAGTGCTGCTTGACAGGCCTGGTGACACACACCTGTAATCACAGCACTGGGAGGGTTGAGGCAGGAGGGTCACCATGAGTTTGAGGCCAACCTGGGCTACACAGTGATTTCAAGGCCAACTTAAACTATATATAAGACTCTGTCTCAAAAACTCAAAATAAAATAAACAAACAGTGCTACTGTTTGCTGCTACTGTTTTGTATCTTATTTGTAGGAATAAAGTAGAAGAGAATCAATTAAATTTGAATTTCAGATCAATTAAAGACAAAAGGTATACCTGTTTTCCTTAATTTCAATTTGGGCATATGTAGTAGCTTTACTTCTCTGTAACAAAATACATGAGATAGTCAACTTGAACAGTGAGAGGATTTTTCAGCCCACAGTTAGTTGGCTCTTGGTTTTGGGCGTGTGGCAAGGCAGTACATGATGGTGGGAACATGGTAGACAGCCATGCACCTCATGGCAGCAAAGAAACAAAAGGAAAAGAAAGTGGAAGAGAGCCCAGTGTCTGCTTCAAATGCATGTTTCCAATCACCTAATTTCTTCTGGGCCCCACCTCCAAAAGGTCTACCTACCTTCTAATAGCACCATGGTGTGGGGACCAGGCTTTTAACACCTGAGCCGTTAGATATAAGGACATAGATATTTCTGGGATTGGAGATATAAACCATAGTCTCATACTGTGTTTGTTTGCTAATTATATCAACTCTATATGTTGCAGGAGTCTAGAATATATATTTCTATGTTCAAGGAATTTTTGGGTGACAAGAGTTACAAATGTTCAACTTTACTAGATATTTTCAAATTGTATGAGAGTTCTTGCTTAAGCCCTATCAGAAACTTAGTGTCTAAATATCTTATTAATATCCATTTATCTGATTACGAAGGTGGTATGCGGTTTTTGAAATTCTATTTTCTATTAATATTTCCTGTGCTGTGAAATGCCCACGTTTATATTTTGTTTATTTCTCAATTGGATTATATGACTTTTTCATATTAAGTTTTAGGAATTCTGAATATTCTGAATAATAATTTGATGTTTTATGTGTATGATAACTTATTCAATGTGATACTTTCTTTCTTTACTGTCTTTAATTTGTTTTGTTTTGTTGGTGCTGGAGAGTATATCCTAAACCTTATACATGCTGGGCAAGTGCTGTAATTTATTGTGCTTCTAATTTATAAAAAAATGTTAATTTTGTCATTGTCCATCTTCATCTTTTCTGATAGGGACTTTTGTGTCTTAAGGTTAATATATTTTCCCTGTATTTCATCATAAGTCAAGCTAATACTAGTATATAACTGTAAACCTTTAGTAATTTGTGGCTTAAAACTACTGAAGTTTATTCTTGCATATGAAGTTCAATTCGCAATAGGATACAGTGGAAGAATTCTGCAAGCAATCCCTTGGTGCCCCAGAACATGAAGCCTCTGTCATTTTCACCCATTGGTGTCTAAGGACACTCTGTTCCAGACATGTGCCCTGTAAAAAACAGGGAAAGAGAATGTGCAAGATTATGTGAGCGATTTTTCATGGGCCAGGCCTGGAAGTGGAGTGCATTCAAAGGGAGATCTGCAGGTCCCTGCCAGTGTGCAAGTGGCTGATGAGCTGTCTGTCTCATGTATAGAAGTGAGAAGAGAGTGGTAGGGCCCCTCCCAACGTATCAGGGTGGGAACTTTTTACAAAATAGTGATGTCAACCTGGACTGGTGTTGTTCTGATGTAACACTCTGTAACATAAATCATACCCAATCAGACTGTAGAATGTTTTTGTTGTTGTTTTATTGGTACAAGGGATCAAACTCACGACTCTGCACTTGCAAGGTAGGCGCTTATGCCACTGAGCTAAATCCCCAGCCCCTGTAGAATGTTAATGTATGCCCATATAAGAGAAATAAGGACCCAAAAATTATATAAAAGGGTGCAGTTGTGCCATGTTTGGCACTCGGGTTTTGGATAGAAATCCACAGAATCCATGCCAGCATGAATGAAGCTGCTTCCAGCTTGTGGCAGTATTCAGAGATGGTATATTTCCATCTCCTTTGTCACTGGAGTCTGAACCTCATAGCTCTGGAAGATGGGACCTTGCCTGGCACCAGCAGACCATTTGACCTCTAAGGAAGGTTGGGTCCTTTCAATGTGCAAGGGTGAGATCTCCAGATGCACAAAAGAATGGGAAGTCCAGGAACCAGTTCAGGGATCAGTGCCCACCAGATTTTATAAAAACCAGGTTCCATTTAAAGAGGCAGAAGGGGAGACTGATCACCTCCCAGAGTTGCCCAAGTAAGTTTCACTGAACTGAAACCACAACTCTCAGGAACTGGGCTGGGAGCTGGAATACCAGGGTTGTCTAAGCAGTTCCGAAAGAAATTAAACAGCCTCAAAGCAGTGGGCACTGAACAGCAGGTTAGAATCCTTGTGTGTTCATGTGTGAAGGAGATGGACAGCAGAAAGGTGATCTGACCATAGAGCCTAAGGGAGTGTTAAGTCCTGATCCATGGTTCCATGTTGACTTTCATATGGCTAAGGATGAGGATAGGCCCTGGAAGCTCCACAGATGCTAGGAGGAGCCTGAAGTGTCTCCACAAGGAGAGCGGCCAGAGACAGGCACAGTGAGCATGTGCCCCTTCCAATAAAACTGTTTCCCGTTGCTTTGCCTTTTCTCATGTGTGAAAATTGTCTGTGGGGGAAATCAGTGGAAAGCAGAGTAAACCAAATCCCCTAGAGTGTATGTTAAAGTATTTTTTAAAAGGATATTTTGGTGACTCTGGTGTTAAGCTGACTCCAGAAAGCTCTGAACTTTCTGTGAAATTGGTTGGCTGTTGTTTGGGGTGGGATGGTCTATTGAGGACTCACTTGATAAGGAGATAATTAACCAAGTGTTCAAGGTTAAAGGGACCCAGCCACTCTCAATTTCCTTACATTAACTGTTGGCACCAACTTGGCTGAAATTTTGTATTGAGGAGAACTGTAGAGTGATGATGGCTAGGATAACAATGTCAGCCAAATGTCAGCCAAAGTCAAACCAATTCTATCCAGGGAATCAGAAGTCCCACCTCCATATGTCTTACAGTATCCATCACTGCCACCACCACCTGTGACCCCCAGTACAGAGGCTGAGCCAGAGCCAGCCAGCCCCCAGGGTTGCCTCTCTCCCACCATTATCTGAGACCTCTCTGATGATGGTCTCTGCTGAGTCACCCATTCTGACTCCCCACATGACTGTGGGAACCCATTGAGAAAACCCCTCTAGCAGCCTAACTCTCAGGCCCTGTTGAGGTATCATACAGATGCCACTTAGAGACACTTAAGGACCCATTTACTATTACCCACAGGGCCAGAATCAAGGGGGGGGAATGAGTGTTAGTGTATCAATCCTACACCTGGTTGTTGCAAACCCTTTCTCTCTCTCGGTCCTCATCCCTGCCAAAGCAACCTTCTTTACACATCTAGAACTCAAACATGCTGTCTTAGTTACTTTTCTCTTGTTGCTGAGACAAAATATCTGATGTCCAAAGTTAAAGGAGAAAAGGTTTCTTAGCTCACAGTTTGTAAAGGTTTCAGTTCATAATCAGCTGGTTCCAAGGCAGGGTAGCTTGGCAGAAAGGCAACAGTTCATGGCAGATAATGTATATGATCAAATATGAGGGGATACTATGTGAGAACCCACACACAGAAGTAGCTTGGATCCTGAATCTAGCAATTCTGCCTGTTAGGCCGGCCAGACCATAACTGCATTGAGGTCATAAATGAGGTATTTACCAATCAACCTGACTTGAGGGATTATCCCCTCAAGGACCCTGACACTAAGTATTTTACTGATGATGGCAGTTTTATGAAAAGAAGGAGCACATCTTACAGGGTCCTCTGTGGAAACCGTGAATTCCATTATTAAGGAAAAGTCTCTGTCAAAAGGGACCTCAGCACTGAAAGTGGAACCTTTTGCACTAACCCGAGTGCTTTATTGGCAGCAGGAACATGTGGCAACAAACACACAGACTCTTAAGTATGCCTTCACCACCTTTCACGTTCATGGGGCTCTATACAAAGAAAAAGGCCTGATAAACTTAGAGGTAAATAACAAAATATGGCAGGGAAACCCTTGAACTCTTGAATGGTGTATGGGGCCCTAAGAGGGTGGCAGATGTGTACAATTGGGGACATTAAAGGAGAGACACTACAGCTGCTCTGGGAAACTGTAAGCTAAGATGGCAGCCACCAGGGGAACAGCAGAGTCACCGACTCTGGCCACCTTGCCATTTTCCAGTCCATTAACAAAATGGAACCCTGATTCCTCAAAACATGAGATTGCTTAGTTTAAGTTACCTCCCAGGTGGATGGTGGACAGTTGGGTAGCAATCCTCCCAAGGCTCTGGGTCCAGTTTTTGTCAGGAAGTTTCATCAGGATACCCATAGGAGAGGGATAGCTCTTGAGATCACCGAGTTGAGATCTCTACGACTCAGCTCTGCAGCATAGCCTGGGTGGTGCATGAACAATGTGGCACGTGTGCCTGCGGTAACCCATGTCCAGGGCCTAGCGCTGCTCCTGGGGTATAAAGCATCAGAGATTTGAAAATGTGGTTGTGGATTTTACTGAGCTTCTCAACTCTGATCCAGGGATTTGCTAGTTTTTGTGTATGCCACCTCTACCACCACCACCACGACCACCTCACATGGGAAAGGTATCTGAGGTGGCCTGAACCCTACTGAGAGATATCATCCCATTTGGAATCCTCATTACCGTAAGGTCAGACAAGGGGCTGGCATTCATTGCTGACGTGGTACAGCTGGTGGCCAAG